ACTTTTGGATGTAACGAGTAAAGAAAAACATTACAAGTAACGTGCATTAAGTAATCAGATTACAGATTACTTTTGGATGTAACAACTAAAGTAACGCATTACAAGTAACGTGAATTACGTAATTAGATTACTTTTTGATGTAACAAGTAAAGTAACCCATTACACGTTACATGCATTAAGTAATCAGATTACTTTTTGATGTAACTGCAAATTACATTCTAATGACACAAATACATTTATTAACAGCCAAAATATTACTACAGATAAAGTATTTTCAAGAACAACAGTCACAGTAATAGGATGAATTGTATGATTCAAATGATGTATGACGTCCAATTTAGTGGACAGAGGATTAATCAGATTTTTCCTCCCAATCTAATATCAATATTTGGAAAATTTAACAATGATATGAGTCTTTAGATGTTATTTAATGCAACAATTTTTATAAGGGTTATGAAAGGGTTAACTTATTCCATTTCAGCTTTGCATTCAAAATTTTAGTAATCTCATAAAATTGCTTTAAATTAAAAAAGAATGCAAAATAGAATGTAAAATAAACATATTCATTATTAAAAAATGCCAATTGAGTTGCTGAAACCTACTAAAATATAACACTAAAACATTTTAATTCAGCTTTGCATTCAAAATAGTATGCTTATAATGTCATACAATCTACATTAAATTAAAAATGAATGTAAAATTGGATATACTAGGTCTGTCTGGCTTTTAAAAGCCTATGTATAAAATCACTTTATGAAAATGAAACCATTTTCTGAACTTATTCAAGCTGGTGTCAGTGCCATAAAAAAAAGAAATCTGTATTTTCATGGTGTGAAAAAAAAAGGATTTTCATGGTGTGGATCAGTTATTTCCTGTGATGATACTAAGAGTATTTTATTTTACCTCTGAAATGCCAGTAAAGCACTAGAAATGTGAGTTTAACAGCATCAGATGATTAAAAGCATGAGTCTATAAATGATTGAGCCAGTTTAACTCACTATAGATTAAACTGCACTTTGAATTTATATACATTTTTACATTTATATATAAATAAAACGCTATTTTTATTAAACATGCAGAAATAGCAGAGCATTACATGAGAATCAGCAACAATTTCAATAAAACGTTCATTAACATTTTACATGTTCACATGAACAACAACCTGTGGAGATGTAAACAAATACATAGGCTAAATCACGTCAAATTCATATTCACATGAATAGTGAACATAAAACAAGACCAACCCCCGCAGGAACTCACCTAAACACAGCAGCAAATAAAAATGAATTATGGAGAAGAAGCTTTCAGATCCGAATCCAAATCCAGTTTGTTCACTTGCAGCGTCTGATGTCACCCAGATACAGCACACATGTCATCAGCCACGCCCCTCGACCACATGAGCCAATCAGATCACGCTCAACAACAGGGGTGCGTCCACACACAGGCCGGGATTAGCCAATAAGATTACGCCGTTTATTTAAAAGCGTCGAAGCGTTCAACCAATCTGAACCAGTCATTCAACATTTCTCCAGAATTCCAGTGGAAAATCAAGCACTAAAAATGCCTGACTGGTGTACATGTTTGTGAATATCCTGCTGAATCCCAGAAAAAAAAGTTTTATGAATTTGTCATTAAATTGTTTAGAGCATAAGTAAAAATCTGAAAAATTATACTTTATTAATGTTATGCAATGACTCGTTTTTTAAAAAAAAAAACAATAAAAAGACATGAATAGGCAAAAACAATGCTTAAAAAAATCAACAATCAATTTTTAGGTTTCAGGATTTTATAAACCAAACTTTGTATAAAGTTAAAAAATGTTATGAAAGATATAATGGTTATAATGGTTATAATAGAATGGTTTTCCCATTCCCATATCTAATTTGCATATTAATGTGTTTTTGCGGCAACATGTCATGTAAAAAGCGTGATAATGGGAGTGGGCTAGTAATTGGCAAGATTTTCATAATAATTTCTAATATATTTCATAGGAATATTGGAAAAAAAAATTTCCACCTATTCACTTGCTGTGTCTCCCAAAATGCCTGATAAACATATGGATTTAAGTCCTATATAGTCAACACAACAGTGTACATGTATGAAATCGATGTCTTGTTTCGTAACAAAAAGCCATTGTTAAAACTGTGACATGTAGGCCTACGATGAGAATGAATACAGAGAAATTCACTAAAATATAATGTCCCCTACAGACGACAATTAAGTCTAGTATTGGGTCGCTGGAGGATTTATGCTCACTTTTTCTGAAGTATTTTTTAAAGACAAATAAGCCTATTGTTAGTGCCATCAAAACTTGTTCAATATGACATTCTTCAAACATTCTCATTCTGTAATGCAAAGTACAAATGTCATTCGTTATAGTTCTGCTTGAATATACAAAGGAAATTCAAAGTCATAAAAAGGACAAGATGTTATAAAAATGGATTTATTGATTTAATTAAACTGGGAAAAGGCCAATAAAGCAAACATGATATCCGACAACCGCTTGTAATATAATAAAAATCACACTTACACTCTAAATTAAAAATTGCATATCAACTATTCAAACATCATAACACGGTCGGTGCATCGAATTGCTTTACTTCATATTATTTATTCCATCATAAGCACAGGACAAAAACACTTTGAACCACATGATGTAACGTTTCTGCAATGTTAATGTTCACATTTGTAATTGAATTGTTGTTTACCTCAGTGAGCAGATTTAGCGGTTCTCCTTTCTGAGGAAATACTTTGATGGCTTCTTGACAAAGCCTGGTCTAAAAGTTTAAAATTATATTGAAAGGTTTTACCTTCAAAGTAAAAAAAAATACTAGCATGCTTTATCATGTTAACACATTAATAGCATGTTGTTAGCCAGATTAACATTTTGTTAACATGTTTAACTCGTTGCTAACAGTGCTGTTAGCATGATTGCCTTGTTAAAATGTTGCTAGCATGATTAACATGTTGGTAGCATATGCTGCTAAATGAGTAGTATGTTGCTAACATGCTTTAACACATTTCTAACTAACGTTAGGCCTACTAAAATTAGCTCATTGCTATAACATGTTGCTATCGTGATTTAACACATTAACATGTTTAACATTTTGCTAACATGATTAGCATGTTGCTAGCATGATTCGTATTAGTATGAGCATGTTGTCCAAGGATATTCGTCAAGTCTTATTGTACAAAAGTTTTGACCCCCTCAATGAAAGTCTATGGGACTTTATAGTTGTTTTGATCGTCCGTTTAACGAAAATCGTATGTCAGATCGGTTAGAAAAGATCCAGCAACCCGGTCAGAACCGGGTTAAAGCTCTCAGAAGAGAAACTGATTAAAACTTTGTCACTAATGAAAAAATATTAAAAACACCAATTTAGTCATAAGATTGCACTAATTTGCACGATCTTTCCAAGTCTAGAAATCACACTTTTAAAGATTTTTATGTTGTTTTTGGCTCATTTGAATGCTTGTTTGAAAGAAGACACTTAATCATATAATCAGACCACATTTTTAATTATTTGTTGGTTTTGCTTTATTTTTCCGCCATGATCTGAAATCCGAAAATCAAAAACACAATATAACCTTCTGAAAAATCAATATAATGAATTGCTTTTTTAATATATATATATATAAATCAACAGAAAACACTTGAGCAAGCGACAATAAATCAAGTTGAAGAATAGGAGCTCTCGTCCTAAACTTCACATACGACTCGAGACTGAGACGACGTTCAGATGCACAACATTAGGAACGTTTTCCAATGGCAGTTTCTGACAAATTGAACCACAAACACTATAAAGCCTCCAGAAAGATGATGATCTGCTCCATCAGTCATTCACATGTTTAGTCCATTTCACAGACTATTTACACACACATCTCCCAACAGCGCTTTTAAATACCAGAAACATCAGAGCAGTAAATTAGAAACAGTAATGCAAGAAAACATGATCGAAGTGAACAAAATAAAGGCGTTCTTGTTGCAATCAGTGGCGTCTGGTGAATAAAACTGATGCACTTTAAATAAAGAGGAAGTGATGTAATTTGCATTTCCAAGAAATCACACTTTTAAAGAGTTTAATGTTGTTTTCGGCTCATTTTAATGCTCAAGACAAGAACTTGTTGCAATCAGTGGCGTTTGGTGAATAAAACGGATGTGCTTAAAATAAAAAGGAAGTGGACATAATGAACGTGTTGTTCTGAAAAACTCTCGTCTTATTCACAGCAAAAAATGCTTTTCTTACTTAGTATTTTTTGTCTTGTTTCCAGTCCAAATATCTAAAAATTCTTAAATCAAGATGCATGTACAGGTGAAACTCGAAAAGTGAGAATATGGTGCAAAAGTTCATTTATTTCAGTAATTCAACTTAAAAGGTGAAACTAATATATTATATAGACTCATTACATGCAAAGTGAGATATTTCAAGCCTTTATTTGTTATAATTGTGATGATTATGGCTTACAGCTTATGAAAACCCCAAATTCGTGAAAAGGTTTTCATAAGCTGTAAGCCATAATCATCACAATTATAACAAATAAAGGCTTGAAATATCTCACTTTGCATGTAATGAGTCTATATAATATATTAGTTTCACCTTTTAAGTTGAATTACTGAAATAAATGAACTTTTGCATGATATTCTCATTTTTCAAATTTCACCTGTACTAGATGAATAAAATGCCATAAGATATTATGTCTTGTTTTCTGGGGAAATAAATCCCTAATAAGTGAGTTTTTGCTTAAAACAAGCAAAATTATCTGCCAATGGGGTCAGAAAAATTATCTTTTTTCTGTTTGAATTACCATTTTTCTGACCCCACTGGCAGATAATTTTGCTTGTTTTAAGCAAAAACTCACTTAATAGTGATTTATTTCCCCCAGAAAACAACACATAATATCTTATGGCATTTTACTCATCTAGTAAATGCATCTTGATTTAAGAATTTAGATATTTGGACTGGAAACAAGACAAAAATACTGAGTAAGAAAAGCATTTTTTGCAGTCTTCCTCTTCTCGTCTTCTTCTCCTCGTCTTCACCACTCCTTCTTCTTCTCGTCCATGGACACGCCGCCCGGGCCGAGCGCCACCACCAGCAACAGGCCTCCGACGACAGACGTGGTCTGGAAGAAGTCGTACTTCAGGAAGTCATGCATGGGTTTGTACGCCGGCACTGTCCAGAAAGCGTTGAAGTAAACGTTGATGGCCAGAAGCCAAACCACCAGCGTCAGAGCCGCGAGTTTAGTCTTGAATCCCACGGCCACGAGGATGATGAGAGCCGTTCCCACCATGTTCTGGAGAATCTGGAACACAGAGACAGCGAAAAATAAATGCTTTTCTTACTTAGTCTTGTTTCCAGTCCAAATATCAAACATTTCTTAAATCAAGATGCATTTACTAAAGTAGTAAAATGCCATTAGATATTATGTCTTTTTTCTGGGGAAATAAATCAAAATGAAGTGTGTTTTTGCTTAAAACAAGAAAAATTATCTGCTAATGGGGTCAGAAAAATAATGTTAATTCAAACAGGAACAGGATTATTTTTCTGACCCCATTGGCAGATCATTTTGCCTTTTTAAAGCAAAAACTCTTCAGTTTGATTTATTTCCTCAGAAAACAAGACTTAATGTCTAATGGCATTTTACTCATCTAGTAAATGCATCTTGATTTAAGAAATGTTTGATATTTTGACTGGAAACAAGACAAAAACACTAAGAAAGAAAAGCATTGTATTGTATAATATATTCATGCCTTATAGACACATTTAGCAGATTAGAGCTGGACGATTATATAGTTACAGTTGAGTTTTGCTATATACACTGCACAAAATGCTTTTCTTATTAGTATTTTTGTCTTGTTTCCAGTCCAAATAGCAAAAAATTCTTAAATCAAGATGCATTTACTAGATGAGTAAAGATATTAAGTCTTGTTTTCTGGGGGAATAAATCTAAATGAAGTGAGTTTTGGCTTAAAACAAGCAAAATGATCTGCCAATGGAGTCAGAAAAATAATGTTAATTCAAACAGAAACAAGATTATTTTTCTGACCCCATTGGCTGATAATTTTGCTTGTTTTAAGCCAAAACTCACTTCATTTTTATTTATCTCCCCTTAAAACAAGACATATCTTATTTGACTCATCTAGTAAATGCATCTTGATTTAATAATTTTTTGATGTTTTGACTGGAAACAAGACAAAAACACTAAGTAAGAAAAGCATTTTTTTGCAGTGTACACTTTTAAAAAATAAAGGCATTGATGGTTCCATGAAGAACCTTTAATCTTTCCATTCCATAAAAGTGGAAAAAGCCTCTTTAAAAAAGGTTATTTTAAGAACTGATCAGTGTAAGGTTTCTTTCTTGTGTTCGGAAATGCTGGATAATCATTCAGAGTCTAACATCTTCCCAAAATCTTTTGATACTTTGCCATTTGTTGTGTTTTTCCCCCACATTGCAACACTTGTGATGTTTCCGGTCAAAAATGAGCGGTCTACAAAAAATTGCTTACAAATCTCTCATTAAATAGAATATAACATAAATAAACATAATATTATATAAAAAAAATTCTGTAGAACGGTGTCGTGTTAGCGGCCCCTAAGTTAATAACTAATGATCTTTACAACAGAAGTGAATCAATCAAAACTAACTTTATCTGGACAATAACAGAGATTGTTTGGCTTTACAGTAGATCTAGAATAAAGTTACTGTAATCTCCTGTTATCACTGTAAAGCTGCTGTGAAACTCTATATTGTTAAAGTGCTGTAGAAATGAAGGAGACTCGACTACAACATAAATCTCTTTAAACTAATATGCCACTAAACACACTCCTTTATTTATAAGGGACAGTGAAATCTCTGTTATTGGTGTGAACGTACACACACACACACACACACACACACACACGGATCTGCACGAGTATGAAGGAGTGTTTAATGCTCTGCGTGACATTTGATTCCTGGGTTCAGGATCTCAGAGCGCATGTCAGAAACGCGTCTTCAATCTTCAACACGGTCATTTGAAGCTTCAGTGTCGAGTTTCATTCATTCCAAACCGCAGTTAAAAACTCAAAGCGTCCGAGTCATTTTCCAGGCTAATCTGCTTTTAAACAATATGTGCGGTGTAAAATCTACACACACACACACTACCAGTCAAAGGTTTGGGGTCGGTAAGATTTTTAATGTTTTTAAAAGAAGTCTCTGCTCACCAAGGCTGCATTTATTTGATTAAAATACAAAAAAATACAGTAAAAATGTGAAATATTACATTTTTTTTACATTTTCCGTCGGTCTTAGTGCACGATGTAACTACAGAAGAGTCAAGTTTTAAATAGGAAAAATATCGAAACTCTTTGGTCATTTTTTTTTTTTAGAACTGCTAATGGTCTTGTCCACTTCAATGATGTATGCTAAGCTATGCTAAAAGTGGTCCGCCAGAACCGGAGATCGGCTGAATGGATTCAAAAACGGTAAAACTCAACAGTTTAACTCTGGGGGAGTTGTAAAATGAGCCTATTTCCAAAAAAAGTGGAGTATCCCTTTAATAATATGCTAAAGCTCGGTTTTATTATTTACTGTATTTTCCAGAAAATAAGTCGAGTCGCTCAAACTTGCGTCGTTGAGAGAATAAAGTTGCATCAGTGTATAAGTCACATTTTATCATTAGAAATAATGTAAATAAAACGAAATGTTAACGATCTCTAAACATTGTAAACATGTATTTTACTTCCCTCACTCTAAATCCTTTTAATTTAATAGGCCTGAGGAGAATATAAAAAATATATGCATAAAAATAAACTAAATTATAGCTCTATTCATTACAAACATCATTCAAATGCATTTCACTCGGATATACGACACAATAGGGAAGAAAAACGACTTGAACACTGTATGGGTCAAAATTATCGATTTTTCTTTTATGCCAAAAATCATTAGAATATTAAGCAAAGATCATGTTCCATGAAAATATTTAGTAAATTTCCTACCGTAAATATACAAAAAAATATATTTTTGTGAGTGGATGCAGCAAAATCGCGAACATAAATTAATAAAGACGATTTTTTTGCACCCTCAGATTCCAGATCTTCAATAATTGTATCTCGGCCAAATATTGTCCTATCCCACCAAACCATACATCAATAAAAAGCGTATTTATTCAGCTTACATATGATGTATAACTCTCAATTTTTAAAAAAATGTACCCTTGTGACTGGCTTTGTGGTCCTGGGTCACAT